GGGAGACAAAGTGATTTCCGATCGTATCTTCCGCCACAATGTCAAGCTACTCCATATCGCCCTCATGTTTTCGAACTGTTGTACGCATCACGACCAGAAACGAAAGGAAAGACTTGTCTTTCCATTGCTTGTCTTTCCATTGCTTGTCTTTCCATTGCTTGTCTTTCCATTGCTGATCGGTTCCTTGTTTTATACTTGCACATGAGAGGATGCTCGAAGTTCTTGTACATACATCGCGAACAATTCGTTCTGCCAAAGATTCTAAGTGCGACTCCTAAGAGCATCCACTCAACACACTGCTAGCTAGTACAGTGGAGGGTGAACACTACAGTAGTGGCATAATGTTCCTAAGCGATAATGAAGTCCTTCTTGAAATATCCCAACACAATCCTCACTGGTGTGGTAGATTCCCATCGTATTATCGTCTGTGTGTGTTTCTCTAAATTCCACGATTGGCTCTCCGGCGTTTTGAAGAGAGTCCATTGAAGTACCAATGGCAGTTTCTGTATGGTGGCCATCGAGTGCCTGCTAGTACAATCATGCTATTCTCTTTGCACAATTGCTGTCCACTTCGTGGCATTATGGGCATCTCGTGTGACGACTGTGTTTGCCTCCGACCAGCCTGGCGTATCAGTACAATACTGCATGAGTGGTGTTCATCTGGCTCATTGCACACTCAAAAGACCAAGTCACGGACTGGGAGCCTGGCTATGCTCTTGCCAGGTCAATCTGACCAATTGCAACAGGACAAGACTGAAGAGCTAGGGCTGTGCATATGCTCAGGATGCTTAGTACGTACACGAAATGCCCTTGAGATGTCGTATTTGGCATCTGGACTGCACTGTATGATGTGCACCTACAGAAGTACTACTAGTAAAGGCCAAACTTTCAAGTTGCACACGAGGATACCGATAGGCCTCCGGCGAGAAATTCAAGGCTGCGATGAAAGTTTGTTCTTTGGGGTTAGCTTGAACTTGTACTTGTTGAAACGCTTCATGATCTCTGATGGCGGGTGTACTAGTATTTTGGTGTCTGTTTTCAGCTGTGGAGTGCAAGCTCCACTGGGTTCAATCTCTTCAGCTAGACTTGTTTTCTAAAGTAGCCAAGCATACCTTTACGCGGCTGCATCAGTGTAAAATTAACAACGCTTTGAAAAGGAAACAGACGACAGTACTAATGGTACATGATTGTACAGGCAGGTCCACGTCCTGGGGACTGACTCTACTCCGGGAGTCTGATCCTGTGTTGTTCTGTACGTATGCAGAGCAAAAGAAGATGACATTGTGCACAAGCATCTGACATGCCCCGCGGGCTGCCAGAATAAACGCCCAGTACAAATCCTGAAAGCAAGTTGACCCTGGTGCAGTTGTGTAGGTTCTCGAGGTGTTCTTTTCCATTCCCGTGGACTCGCTGCTGCAGGCAGGTGATCGGTCAATGCGAAGCCATGGCGAGCACCAAGCCCAACATGATTTTCTGCAGTCGTTCCCTATTTCGCCGTTTTTCCTCCAGTCTCTTGAGCGTGAAGGTCTTGCCCAAAAGGGAAATCAGGATCTGAAAGATTTAGAAACTGAGGTTTTTGCTGTTTCATCGCATGAGTGAGAAACGTCCCATTGCGTTTGGAATTGAAGATCAAATTTATGAGAAGGAATACTGACCAGGAAACATGGCACGAAAAGATTGGGGACAAAAACAGAGGAGCGGAAACCAACACTGGTGGTTCACCTCACAAAACATCTCACACTTGTTGGTGGTGGGCTTAGTAGCTGCTCTGCCCTGCACAGGCACCGGATCCCGGTCTTCAAATGGATTATGACAAAAACCACCTCAATGTAAGGTTCTGCCTCCTTTTCTTTCCATCCATGCCATTCGGGTTTCATTCGTCATCATCACAATACAAACCCCGGAATGATACCAACATTTTACATGGTACATTCGTGAAGATAAAGTAACTATTGGGATAGACCCTAGTCATGCATGAATAAATAAGAATTACTTGTATCTCTCCTCTTTTCAACTTCCTAAAACTAATATGAACTGGTTCGAGTCGCAGTGGTGACAGTTATATTTCACTTACCGTTTCCTTTTCATTATTTAGAACTGATGCATAATAATGAACGTTGCAAACAATAGAGGATTTGTGTGTTGCTACCTCTAGTTTAGAAATCAATAATACCCTGATAGAAACAGATTTTTAGATTGTTCCGTAGAATACGTGTACTAGCACTGCACATTTTTATACTTTCCACAGCTGAGTAATGAACATGTGGATCCTTTGGTCTTGGTATACATAGCTCTATTGCGTCAGTTTTTCCGGGCTTGATTTTTACTGAAGCGAACTGAAAGTTGTGAATCACGCTCCCAAGAAGCTGATTCACCACATGCACGATTCGATTGGACGGTTGCTTAGTGTTTGGACCTCTGTGTGAATCACTACTGAGTATCGGACTATCGCAATGCAATGAACGATGAATGATCGTGCTACCATAACACCATTTCTAGAAAGCAACACACAGGCACCAGTACTAGCACATGTATGTGTGAATGCAATTATCGTGTTGGGTCCAATGAACACCTACATTGAAGAATTTGTATAGACTGGATATACATGTAGAGTGTAGATCTTGTTCGGGTGTAGCAGAGAACAAACCAATGGCCCAGTTATGATTGTCCAGGCCCACACGTGAAACCGGGCTCATGTCCTACTGCATGTGCAGTGTCACGGCTGTCTCTTTCCAACTCGTCGGCCATTTCTTTTCATACTGAAAGCCTTTGCTTCAGAGCGCATCGAGGCGTGCACAGTTGTATCTGCTTTAGAGACAGAGGCCGGGCCAAGCTCGACATGGCTTGAGGACTTGCCGATTGTACCCATCAACTCCCTGTCACTGCTGGATTGTGTAGAGAGCTGTAGAGGACTGGCAGTGACCTTGTTTCGATCTAATGCTTTTCATGGCCCGCCACACTGGTTAACAGTACCACACCTGCCAAAGACGTGAGTGCTGTTTCTTCAGGAAGTCAACACATTGGTGCGCATAGTAATCACAACCCGTTATCCAGTATGTGTTGATCATTGCGTCAGAACCTGGAGTCCTTGATTCCTATTTCCAACTGGCCTTGTACTACTGTGATTCGCTGAAAGCTGGAGAACAGTGACAATTGTAGCGACAGAGCTTGAACAAGAAACGTTGGAGGTGAATCTAGAACTTACCTGGCCTAGTTTGTGACAGGCAAAGCAAACACAGTTGGTGCTTTGTCCAGAAACCGTGAACCTGCTGCACACACAATCGTAATGGCTGCAAGATGCCGTCAGCACAGTAACGTCATTCCCTGCTTTCCCAGTGCTGGTGCACACAACACGCATGACCCCATACTAGTACACGTAACAGTGAATGTGTACCAGAGGACTCCTGCTGATTAGGACTATAGTCCGGTACGCGGTACTGCTAGCCTTATTGGCACTAATATTGGCATTAATGCCAGCTGAATTGACCGGCTTCTGTGGCTTAGGCTAGTGTGAGACTATCAGCACTAGTGCAACAGTGCTTGGTTGGTGGCAGTGTGGGAAGATGGTTTCGTGTACGTACCCAGCTCTGTCGGCTCTAGTGGTATAGCTAAGATTCTGAGACAATGACATTCTACCTCGCAGTATGTGGCCTTAAGTGTTGTCCTCTGTCTATCCCCTAGTATTAACTTAACTACACGCATTCGCAATTCACTCTGCGTACGCCGCGTGGCGCAAACACCGGGCAATGACCTATCACGTGGACGTGGCAGCCCGAGCGCGCGATCATCGGTAAGCTATAAGGCAGCGGCGCGATACAGCCAGCCTAGCGAGCACGGTATAGGTAAGCACGTTCTAGGTGTGTTTCAGGGCAGCCTGCCTCCTTTCTAGGCAGCCTTTCGCCACGCTGATTTCAATTTGCTTACGCCGATAGCCCCTTCTACGACCAGAGTTGCAGGTCTAACATATAAAATGTAGGAGTCCTTTTCGAACCACTCAGTTCCTTCCAAGAGGCCCTAAGTCCTGAAGCAGAATTTGATCAAGTGCGTCTTGACTTCACTCTTCAGCCATGGCATTGTTTGATCCGTCCAATATGGATAACAGCACTTCGTTCCACATGTCCAGTATCCTAACTGGCAATAACGTTGGCCGGATAGCCCAGCCCCCGTCTACCATGTCGATGCCGCCCGTCATGAACATTGCTCCACCTTCCCAAGGCATTACTAGCCTAACGCCGATTACGGACAACAAGGGCACCTTCCTTCCGCCGCCATACCCGCTTGGTTCCGCACCGGAACTGCCCTCCCCGTCCAATGGCGATGCTGAGACGCCCGTTAGTGCCGACGCCAGGAATGGGTTTCATTTAGCTGGTGAGGCATCGCTTTGACTTCTGTTTCCGTGTTTCGTCTCTAAATGTTTGTTTGGATGCAAACTACTAGTACTTTGCCTTCTGTAGGCGAGCACTACCAGCTGCACCGATGCATTGTTCACTCTGTCGGTGTTATTGGTGGTGCCTAGTGGTGATGTTGTTGTTGTGATAACGCACTGTATATGCAAACATGAGATAATAGAGAGGTTGCGCACAACGAAAATTCGTATCGCCGTAACGAATATTTTTAACGAAAAAACTAACGAATATTCGTAAACCGTGAGGTTGCGCACAACGCGTGAACGTTTTCGTAGTGGGTCGACGCGGCGGCCGCGCGGGTACGAAGAGTCAAGACAGGGAGTTGTAAAATATCAGTATTTTAGTACTCCAGGTAACGAAAAATATTTTCGTAGATCTGCTCTGTTTCGGTCACGTTTGGACGGATCTTCGGAGCTACTTTCGTTACTGGAACCCGGACAGGCGAAATCTAACGAATTTTCGTTGTGCGCAACCTCTCTAGTGCCAAGCGGAAGGTGATAAATCATGAGATTGAATTTAACAGGATTTTCTGTAGCACAAACGCTTATCCGAATTTTCGATTTGCTGTTTTCCCTCTTGATTCTCTGTGTACAGCAGCTTCCCCTCCTGTCAATGCCACAGAAACTCCCCTGGCAACGCCAGTCACGCCTGGAGATGTCAAGGTGGAGGGTGGACAGAGCCATTCCGCTGCATCCACTCCCACAGAGGATGGACCCAATGGCGATGCGGGTAACATGAAAAAGCGGAAACCAAGAGCTCTGTTCACACGCCAACAAGTCATCGAGTTGGAGCGACGCTTCAAAGCCCAGCGATATGTATCCGCACCTGAGCGACAGGAATTGTCAGCCAGACTGAAGCTGACTGAGACCCAGATCAAGATCTGGTTCCAGAATCGTCGCTACAAGTGGAAGCGAAGCTCCATGGAGGCTGCAGCCAATGGTCAGCACATTGCCCCTACAACAGGAATGGGTGGACCAGCAGCTCTTGCCAACCGGTATCCTGGACAACCGCAAGTGCCCCGCCCAGTTGCACCATATGGACTGAATCCTATGTTCTATGGGGACCAGTTCAGCCAGGCGCAACTGCAAGCAGCACAAGCTGCTGTAGCCCAAGGACAGACTGGCGTCTCTATGGCAGGAGCGATCCCGCAAATGCAAATGCCAGCACAGCAGCTAATGCAGTTCCAGGCATCAGCTATGGCTGCCGCTAGCGGCGCTCCACCCTCCGCCATAATGCAGCAACAGCAGCAGGCCATGCAGATGCAAGCTCCAGGAACGCCTGGTGCACCACCAACCATGCAAGGTCCCTCTTGGTACTCTGCTCCGTACTAGCGGCACAGCAGTACATCACTACATGTAAGAAAAGAAAAGTACTAGAAGTAGTTCTGCTGAACTAGAATCTGGGCATCAAGTCTCCAGCACTGCGCCACTACGTGTCAGTTACGATCGTACAAAGGTACTTGTCATGTTGTCTGTGTCGTCCATATGTACAGTCGGTAGTAACTAACTTTCTGCAACACAAACTAAAACGGTGCAATAGCTGCTGTAGTACAAAACACAAATTTTGTTACGTTAGAAGTATTGCCATGGAGATACACGATGGCAGGTCTTGTGCAGTCCTTATTTGTCAAATTCAAAACTGTATATAATTTTTGATTATGGAATACTTCATCGCTTTCTTGCTGCATAGCCAGGCATCCAATGGCTGTGTACATTCTTGGTGCTCTCTGATTTCTTAGCCGTTGAAGTAGTATTAATTTATCCTTCTTGTTCAAGTCAGTCGACATTGTGTGCCTTGATGTACATAATGATTGTTTGTCTTGATTTACATGCTGTTGAAAAGCTTTACAAACCCCTACGCTGCTTTCATGATCATTTCCTTTGAGCCCAAAGTGGAAAAGATTCTAAATCTAAATCAATTTGGTTATTGTGCCTGGCGGCCAGTGGAGACTGGATGAGATTATGCTTCACTGGCGCTCGTAAGCTTGGTTACATTCTCAATACTGGGAGCGCGGGGGATGGGTTAGCGAGACGAGCACCCTACAATGTTGAGTACCTATTCCAAAAAGTCTTGTGACTTTTAATAAGTCACCCTCCTATGCCTGGCAGAATGATACAGGTCTAAAAACAATGTACGCCTAGCCTTTATTTGCAATATGTACACACATGCAAGCATAGGTAAGCTATTTGTACATCGAAGTAGATGGACATTTACTGAAGCTGCCTCGTAGAGGGTGAGAAATGGATTGCATAACTAGCGAAGAGAGCCAGGGAATACACACCCAGGAGCCAATAGACCCAGGGAATACACGCCCGAGATAGGCTCCAGCGGATTATGCTCGCGATATCATGGAATCATGCTTTCGTGGACTCTCGCAATATGCTCACAAAATCCTCATAATTATTAGACTTGGGCACGCGGGGATACATATTCACTTTGTTGTACTTCAAAAACTTATGGAGCCTCAAAGTTCGGAAAATTAGGCCTTTTTCGTACTTGCAAGTGGCCATAAGTACAACAAAATGTTACATGAGTATCCCCATATCAAGGTGTCCATGCATGCTAGAGATCAACATGGAAAAGGGAAAACATTACTTCTTCTATTCATTCGTTGACTTCGTTTGTAAAAAGATTTTTCATTGCCAAATTAGTTCGAGTTACCTTTGAAAATTATCATGTTCAACAACTGTCTTCGTAATCGTCATACTCGTCCAACCGATCTCACCCTCACCCTGCGAATAATCAGCTCATCTCTCCCGTAGCTCCACCTCTTCTTCCATCATGACCGAACATCAACTATACCTCTATTTTTTTTAATTATCAGTAGAGCAATATCAAGAGTGCATAAACTGTTTCATGATGGACTCTTGGCAATATCCATAACCTGCACAGTCATGGCTGCTAAAATCCAGCGGTCATATGAGACTTCGTAACATGCATAATGTACAAGTACGCGGAGGTTTGCGGACTACCCGTCACTATCCCGTCCGCCCCAGGATACCTCATAAAGGCCGATTCACTCTCATCTTCTGCTACATCTACTGTATCAGTGTGAGAAAGAATTTTGAAGAAGACGAGTTCGAGCTTACAATATTGTATTGCCATGATTTCCACCCTGCTTTTCATTGAAAACTGTATCTGCATGACCTCCGAATCCTTTGCCATGCAGACCACCAGCACTGATCAGGTGCATTGTTCACAATTATGTAGCCTACATACTAGAACTGTGGTACAATTATGTAGTTATGCTCCTACCTCCGAAGGGATGCCAAATTATGCTCCAAATTTTCAACCACCAAATTATGCCAATAATTATGCCAGCATAATCCGCCGGTGCCTAGCCCGAGAGCAAAGAAACCCAGGGATACACGCCCGGGAGCTAAGAGACATAGAGTTTTACCCTCAGAACTACCAAAATTTTCAACTACCCTAAAACTACTGGAGGCATCATATGACTCCACCGGACTTAAACATACCTACTTGGTATTATTTTTGGCAATATGTGTGGAAATGGAAGTCCTTGGGGTAAAGGGTTCCTTTTAAAAGGAAGAACCAATCACAGGTGCACTACCTTGGAGGCCAGCAACTGGCATTGCGTGCAGCGAAAGGGTTTATGGAAAAATAAAAGAGCATTTGTTTGCCATGATCCTCCTGCAAACTCTACATTTCAGTCTATTACCCCGGAAATGGCTGCTGATTCGCCATCTTGCTGGATATATTTGAGCAAGGTTGGTCATTCTGTCACTGATGTGATAAATACATCTACGATTCTACGAGTGAAAGTAGAAAGTGGTGTCGCGACACATTGCAAATAAATAATTTCCGTTCGCTGTCGTGAGCGGGGAGTCGGGGACCACCTTTGTGATCAAACCTCAAGTAGCAGAGTAGTTCTTGGAAACAATTTCTAGGGATACTACATGATTATAATTAGGGCGTCGATTCCTATCCAGCCCAAGGGCCGTCAGCAGATTATTGCGAAATGATATTGCCTTCACTCAAAGTAGAGTCCTCTCCAATTTTCTGTTTTACTTCCTGTCTTGGCCACTTAATAATGACATGGATCACATTCCGATTCTGGTCAATAAGTGCGAATAATGCATCTGCCCCATCTTCAAAATTGTGAATATCCCGGTAAAGCCCGCAAACTTCCGAAGCAACAACCGGTTGCATGTGTTCGGGCTTGCGGCTTGGTGCCGCAACACATTTCCCACTGTCTACTAACTTTGCCAGAGAACACAATTTCATGAAGGAAGTCCTGCCCGAGTTTTGGAGTTTGTACGTTATTCATGTGTGGTCCTAAGCCAAATTCGTCCTCTTATAGAATGTGGAGTAATATGATGCCGCGCGGTAGTTCTAGGTAGCACCCCCTCCATGGCATTTCGGAACTGAACTAAGATTTTGCAGATACAGCCCACTGCCACTGACAAAATACAAAATAAAATAATGTAAGTCACAAAATATGGGGAGATTCTAACCCACCATATCACAGCAATCCCATTTTGAAATTCGCAAATGCATCATATGATGCCTCCACCCTCCGGTAGTACTAGGGTTAATTAAAGGGGAAGTTAAAATAGTGGTTGCGACTCCGGCGATGATTTGTAAGAACGGGTTCGCTCTCCACACCGGTGCTCGCGCTATTCCGCCGACTTGACTTGACACTTGACTGACTCACGACTGCCATCCAGAGAACACGAGAAGTCCATCGAACCTTCGACTCCGCAAACCTGCAAGAAAGCACCACTCCCTTGTCAATACACAGTGTTTCGGGGAATTCACCCCTCATCAGTTGAGCTTGAGTAGGCTGAGGAAGATCGTGCCTGAAGAGCACCACTTGTCGAAAGTTTGAGGCTTGAGTTGTGAAAATGGGCGACACAAGATTGCCGACGGCTATCCAGACGTGCAAGCGTGCTCTCAAGCTCCTGTATGAAGAGCTGCAGGAGGAGACGACAGTCGGCGAAGATCTGCTAGCAGGAACCAAACCCGTCAACCAGATAAGTCCGTTTCTTTGTGGTTTAAAGGAATTGTTGGAAAGAACGGAAGCTAACTTGGATGATTTTGTTGAGAATGTGGAGGTATATGAGCCAAAGGGTAAAGAAAACAAAGAAATTAAGAATGGTTTGGAGGATGAGGCTGGGTTATGGACAGAGACACTAGAGAAGGGTTTCAAACTCCAGAGAAAATTGAGAAAAATGGAATTGGAGTCAGGCGTCCAGCCTACAATGCAGACAGACTCTACCTTGCTTGAGATTACGAAATTGATTGGGACGCAAGCTAACACCCAAGAGTCAACCCAAAATCTTCTAAAGAGATTGGTAGAGCGGGATACTAGACCCATAGTAGAGCAGGATACTAGAACCGAATCGAAGCCCCAGACAACTGCCAGATTACCCAAATTGGAGCTAAAGCATTTTGATGGGGACATAATGGAGTTCCAAGAGTTTTGGAACATTTTCGATGCTACTATTCATGACAACTCCTCCTTGTCACCAGTTGAAAAATTGAGCTATCTCCGTGAATGTGTGGGAGGGAAAGCACAAGACGTGCTGAAAGGTTTAAGAATCTGTAATGCAAATTATGAAGTTGCCCGGGATCTGCTTGAGAAGAGGTACGGGAGTAAGCAAGCTACGGTGGATGCCCACTACACTGCTTTAATGGAGATGTCGGCCTGCACCTCAAAAATCGAAAGTTTGAGGTCTTGTGTTGACAAAATTGAAGTGCACCTCAGGAGCCTTGAAGCACAGGATGAGGATGTATCGCAAAAGGTGTTCATTACAATAATCTTAAGCAAGCTCCCGAGTGATGTGAAATTACAACTTGAGCTCACCAAACAGAACGATGAATGGACAATTAGTGAGTTGCGTTTGGCACTATCGCACTTACTAAAGGCAAAAGAGAATGCAGAAGGACCAGCCGCATGCAAAGGTCAACAATCATGGCAACATGCCAATCACTCAAAGAAGATACTATCAACAGGGCAGTCTCTACTTGCGGGTGCTGGTGTAGCTCGTACTATCAAATGTATGTATTGTGATGGAAAGCATTACTCTGATGAATGTCAAATGTACAAATCGCTAGATGAACGGAAAACACGGTTGGGTATGAAATGCTACATCTGTCTGAAAGCGGGACATGGAGCAAGAGCTTGCATGAATGCTACAACATGCTACCATTGCAAACGCAAATCCCACCACAGAAGTCTGTGTCCACAGAAGTTCAAGTCAAATGAAGAGCGAACAAATGATGGGAAGCATCATGGTGATGGACAAAAACAGGCACACACTTTGAATGCAATGGCAGAAACATTTGAACCAACACAAGATGAGGCAATGGTTTCTCACACACAAGGGCACAGGGTTCTAATGCAAACTGCTTTGACTACTGCAACAAATGAGGAAGGCAACAGGTCACAGACTGTAAGGATCTTGTTTGACACGGGTTCATCGAGAACATACGTCAGTGAGAATGTCAACAAAGCATTGGGACTCAAACAAGAGGGAAGTGACAGAATTTCACTTGCAACCTTTGGTGCAACACACAGATCGGTAAAGGAATACCCTGTAGTCAATTTGCACATCAAGCAGAAGAATGGTGAATTAGCTTCCATACAGGCGAATGTTATCAACAACATTTCGTGTCCACTACAGAAAGTACCTTTGAGCACAGCAAAGCACTCTAGCTTACAGAAGCTTATCTTAGCAGAGCCTCTATGCAATACACCTGAAGCAATGCCTATTGATATCTTAATTGGAGCAGACCAATACTTTCAATTTGTTGGCAGCGAAAGATTGGAATACCAAGATGGTCTCATTTTGATCGATTCCACTCTTGGGTTTTTGGTGGCAGGCAAGGTGAAATCGAACGGAAATGGTGATCACACACTAATGTGCCACGAGGCGCTCTCGTTATTTGCG